TTCCTTTTGTGTTGGGTCACCCTTGGCATATTAATTGGGCAGAAAATATAATTCTCTCTTGGAGTTCTCGTTGTCATGCTTCTTGTCTTGTGTCTGCTCCGTCTTCTGTTTTTTCTTCTGTGTTGCAGGAGGAGGAGGTGGATCTCTCTCTGGTTCCTGATATGTACCACGATCTGCGTGCGGTCTTCAGTCGGTCCCAAGCTGCCTCTCTTCCTCCCCATCGACCGTATGATTGTGCAATCGATCTTCTTTCCGGCACTTCTCCTCCTCGCGGATGCCTTTTCTCCTTGTCTGCACCCGAGCGGGTGGCCATGGAGAAATATTTATCGGATTCTCTAGCAGCAGGTTTGATTCGTCCCTCTTCCTCTCCAGCGGGAGCGGGGTTCTTTTTCGAGAAGAAGGATGGCTCTTTGCGCCCCTGCATTGACTATCGTGGGCTGAATGACATAACTGTTAAGAACAGGTACCCCCTGCCTCTTATGTCTACAGCCTTCGAGGTCCTGGGGGGGCGCAAGGTTCTTCACAAAATTGGATCTGCGCAATGCTTATGATCTAGTTCGGATTAGGGAGGGGGATGAGTGGAAGACGGCCTTTAATACACCCACTGGACATTTTGAATATTTGGTTTTACCTTTCGGGCTGTCCAATGCTCCGGCCGTCTTCCAAGCTCTCGTCAATGACGTGCTGAGAGATATGATTGACAACTTTGTATTTGTGTACCTGGATGATATTTAAATTTTTTCTCATTCATTCCAGGCGCACGTCCAGCACGTCAGGCGAGTGCTTCAGCGGTTGTTGAAGAATCAATTGTTCGTGAAGGCGGAGAAGTGCACTTTTCATGGCCAGTCGGTTTCGTTCTTGGGTTCTATCATCTCGGCAGAGGGGATTTGCATGGACCCTGCAAAGGTTAGAGCTGTCTCTGACTGGCCGGTACCTGGCTCAAGAAAAGCCTTACAACAATTTTTGGGATTTTCCAATTTCTATAGGCGTTTTATTAAGAACTTTAGCCAGGTAGCGGCCCCTCTGACAGCGTTAACTTCCACCAAGTCCAAATTTTGTTGGTCTAGTGTTGCTAAGGTAGCTTTTGATGATTTGAAATCTAGGTTCACTACTGCTCCTATTCTTATTTTGCCGGATTCTAGTAGACAGTTTGTGGTGGAGGTGGATGCGTCAGAGGTGGGTGTCGGAGCAGTTCTTTCCCAAAGATCCCCTCATGATAATAAGTTGCACCCTTGTGCTTATTTTTCTCATCGCCTTTCTCCCTCAGAGCAAAATTACGACATCGGCAATAGAGAGCTGCTGGCAGTACGCTTGGCTTTGGGAGAGTGGCGTCATTGGTTGGAGGGGACGATGATTCCATTTCTAGTGTGGACTGATCATAGGAATCTGGAGTATATTCAATCGGCCAAACGGTTGAACTCCAGACAGGCTCGTTAGGCACAGTTTTTTGGGCGCTTCAACTTTGTGCTGTCTTATAGACCAGGCTCCAAGAATGGTAAGCCTGACGCTCTGTCCCGGCAGTTCGGCGCGCCTGTCGATGAGTCTCCCCCTGACACTATTTTGCCTTTGGGCCGTGTGGTGGGGGCCGTCACCTGGGGTGTCGAGGGTCGGGTCAGGCGAGCGTTGGTTCAGGTTGAGGTGCCCATGAGGTGTCCGACGGGTCTGTTATTTGTGCCTGATACGGTCCGCGCTGCCGTCTTACAGTGGGGTCACTCTTCCAAACTCACGTGTCATCCTGGTGTGAGGAGGTTGCTGGCAGGCCGGCCATGGCTGAGGATGTCCGTCGGTTCGTGGGTGCTTGTGAGGTTTGTGTTCAAAATAAATCTTCCAATCAACCTTCCATGGTCTGCTTCACCCCCTTCCCAATCCTTCCCGTCCCTGGTCACATATTGCACTGGATTTAAACCTGTGTTAAACCTGTCCTACGTTCTTCCCATTCTCTTCATGTTCCTCTCCTATTGCAATTCTTAATGCACTATATTGGATTCTGTTGAGTTTCCCTAATCTAGTTTTGCATACTGTGTTATATACAATACTTCCATAGTCAATGTTTGCTCTTATCAAAGCTTTATAAATATTCATTAAAGACTGTTTATCTGCTCCCCAACTGTGTCCAGTAATCATCTGCATCAAGTTCAGGGCTTTTTTACATTTTGTTTCAACATGATTAATATGGTATTTCCATGTGTTTTTCATCAAACCAAACTCCTAAATATTTAAATTTTATAACTCTTTGAAGTGGCTGATTATAAAGACATAATTTGTAGTTTTCATCAATTTTCCTTTTAGTGAAGACCATTACATTAATTTAAATCCCCAGTTAATTCCCCATTGTTCTAGGATTTGAATTTCCTTTTGCATGTTCATCACTATATATGGAATATTCAGACCTCTTTTCCATATAACAGCATCATCTGCATATAATATTCCTTCATTTCCTTTTTTCCTAACTTTTCCAATATGTCATTAATCATCAGATTAAACTGGATTGGGCTAATCACACTTCCTTGTGGAATTCCATTTTCTACGGTGAATTCGTCCAAGTTTTCTTCACCTACTCTAACACTAAAAACAGAAAGAAAATCCAATATATAGTTATACATTTTCCCACCAATCCCCATTTTATCCAGTTTAATTAATAATCCTTCCCTCCAAATGGTATCATATGCTTTAACAGTATAGTAATATAGTAATAATTTAGTACTTTCTCCTATTTTATTGTTGGTTTCCTCTTCTCTGATAATTTGGAATGAGGATAAAAAGACAAAAAAAAACAACAAGTAAATAAGTTCAAACATCAATTCAGTATCTATTATTTCCTGAATATTACTGATGAACTGATCTAAAAGTAGGCTACTGTTCACATGCGTTTTACTACTATATAGTATAGTAATATAGTAATAATTTAGTACTTTCTCCTGTTTTATTGTTAGGAAAACTTGAAATTGCATCATATGACCCCTTTAAGACCTTTCAAGCCACAAGCTTTTGAAATCTTGATGTCAAAATCCAGCATTTTTCCAAAAAACACTGGCGCGAAGATGGTTAAGAAAATGACAGGTAAATACAAACCAGCACAAATACCTGTTTTAGTTGATAAACAGAATCAAGCTGTTAATGATATCTGTAAAGCTAATATGTTGGGTAAAGAATTTGCTAATATTCATAATGGCAACCATCTAGCAAAGAAGAAATTTTGAATGAAAATAATAACATATTAAATGTCAAAGAAGATACAAATTCTATACTAGATGCTGAATTTACCATGTCAGAACTTAAAATAGCAATCAAAAATACTGCATATTCTTCACCAGGTACTGATAACTTATGTTATGCATTGTTTAGAAAATTGCCTGATGGAATTCTAGAATTTTTCTTAGAACTTTTTAACAAGATATGCGATGAAGGAAAATTACCAAAGATATGGAAAAAAGCAATAATTCTCCCATTTGTTAAACCAGGAAAAGACTCAAGCAATCCAGGAAATTATAGGCCTATAACATCTTGTCTATCATCTCTGAAAATATCTTGGCAAAATTCACTCGTTTAGTGCAGAAAAATAGCGATTTATTGTAGCAAGCAGAAAAGACTGTCTTTAACTTGTTAAGAACGCGCTGCGGAGGTGCTTTCTCTTAACACCACAAAAACAGTTAAAGGGGACATAACACACACAGTTTTACCCAATCTCATGTTGATCTTGTGTACCTATAGAGTAGTATTGCATCCTTCATATCTCCAAAAAGTCTTTAGTTTTATTATATTTATAAATGAAAGATACAGCTTTACGATTCTCTCCGGAAACAGCCGAGCTCCTGGAGGCGCGCCGTGGGCTGAGCTAAAGAGTGACGAGCACTTGGGCGCCGAATGCCAACAAAACAGACATTTGATGCCGTTTCACTTGCCGTCTGCAGTTCCAGATCATGACCGGTATCTTTTATAGCTGGTACCGCTCCATCTTTCAGTATCAAACGATGTGCAAATCCAGCACCGAACTGGGCCTTGTTTATTGTTAAAATGTTCATCAACAAACACACTTGTGAAACTCCGTTGCTGCCCCGGAAAAACAAACTGTATCCACTGTTTACATAACGCTGGGTTCTTTAGGAAGCTGAACAAAGTTATCTTTCCCTTACAACCAAAAACACACTTCTTTGGAGACATTCTTGCCGAGCGAGTCCCGTGTAGCGCTGCCGCCAGATGAGGCGCTCCTAATCATGGCTCTCGCTCTGGTCGATGTGTGCGCGGGTGCGTTTTTCCGGGAGAAATGCCCATATAAGGAGTTCCACCCTCGTCTACGTCATGAAGAGCC